ATATAAACATACTAATAAGAAAATCGGATACAGTGTACACAAGCATGCTTGAGAGAGCCTGGAGGTGAATAGGCAGGCACTTATTTTTAAGCTACATTTTTAAAACAGTTCTCAAATCTCTTTACAAAAAATATGCCTTCTGGATAATTAAAGACACTTGATCCAAGACAGCATTTTCCTACTTCTACGCTAGTTATTCCAATATCTTTCAGTCTGAAGATCACACAAATTTCCCAACACAGATGCTGACCTTGTCTATGGAACCGGAGCCTACCGACAACAAATCTGTTTTAAAATTTTCATTCAAGAATCTTTGCAGTGGTTTGCCAATTACGGGTTGAAATCCACTGCTATCAGCACGTGCTTAAACCTCACCGAAGTCACCCAAGGTTAAGTATCTTTTTCTAGCCCTGAGTTTGGGTCTATTTGATCCCAAGAGTCCAGGGTCAGTCACATAACAAAAGCCACAATTTTATTTGGAGACTCACATCAGGAGGAGTGCTACTGCTGGCCACCGAGGATGCAGCTAAGCTGCAAACAGGAAAAAAGAAAAAAGATATTAAAGGGAGGAGACCATTTTAGTCAGCGTTGATTGTACAATACAGATTTCAGTCCCACTTTTTCAGCAGTTGAAGCACGGAAGCTTACACTAACCAGGACTTTGTGATGTGGGAGACAGCTTTATAGCTACATTACTGTGCCTTGCTGCTGTGGGCACATTTTACATCAATACAGAATGGCATTTCCAATCAGTCTGAGCATTTCCCTTTTTTCCCTCATGGCAAGAAGGATAAATCCCTCAGAGCATCAAAAGCAGACAAAAATTGCATAGCATGGCAGCTAGGAGGCCCAGAGACAGACTCCGTTAGTTGCCCCAAGATCTGAAGAGTCAAAACCACAGCCTCCAATATGAGGTATATTTTGAAAAACTGTGTTAGTTCAATGTTTTCTTTATGCTTACTTATTAACTTTCATCAGCTGGGTCGATAAAAATTGCAGAAACCAGAGGGTTTGTCCCCCCGCATTAATCCCCAAAGTTTGGTTTTAAAAAGGTGGTCAACTTTCCACAGAGTAACCGTGTGATGGACAGATTAAGAGCAAGCAATCAAAGTGCTGCCGATTGTATTTTGGGGTATCTTCAACATCAGTCTTGTTCTTTACTCTTTCTTCAATATTTCTGAATAAGAAGATGCTTCTGAAAGTCAGACCGATATTTAAGACTT